ACTGTACTGTACTGTACTGTACTGTACTGTACTGTACTGAATACGAGTACTGTACGTACGTACCTACAGTAATACTACATCACCATGATTCTTAAAGATACTCGTACCTCGTCCGAGTAACTCGTTCGGTACGTACCGTACGGTATGAAATCAAGACGGGCTTGATTTTCAATGTCAAAAATCGATCTACCGGTACAAGTACTTGGTACTCGTACCGGTACATTCCATTAGTTCGTATTTTACGGTACAAGAAAATCAGAATTAGATTATCGGTGTCAATTATTCTTTGAATAAGCAATGATGTTCTCATTGATCAATACTGTAACCAATTTGCTTGATTACAACCTGTATGCACCTTTCCTAGATCACACTGATTTCATCGTACTGCAAGATGCCTAATACGACGCCTAGCCAAAAAGAAAGTCTTACCAACAAAAACGAAGAAGCAGAGACAGCGATTCCTCCCTCAAAGAAAACGCCATGGATTCCAATAAATGCCTTTAAGATTGGTTATCAGGTGCGAAGATTGTTCGATGACGGAGAGTGGTACGTTGCTCGAGTCATGACAGAACCTCGCTTGGTCTTTGATGTAGAAAAGGGCATAGATGTTCTCTCTCGAAAAGTGAAGTATTATTTCGACGAACAAGAAGAATGGTTCGATGAACAGCAATTGAACGAATATGCCTACAACGAAGGTGACCATAATGTTGGCAGTGATCACTTTTTTGACGGGTATGATGATCAGTCTAACTCTGACGATGATGGAAATTACGCTGAGAATGAGAATATCATGAACAAAGAGGGAGATGAACGCCATACCTCGTTCCCTGATTTCCCTAGTGACGGAGATGACAGCAATGGTGTCACTACCAAATCATCTCCGAAAAGCAAGAACCAGAGCACCGGAGACTACCGCGTTGAGCCCCAAAAAATGCCTTCGGCAGATGTGGAAATCGCAARAAGGAAGGAAGACGAACTTAAATGCACCTCGTTTCCTGATTTCCCCGTAGACCCTGAAGACGAAGACACCGGTTTCGCTACAAAGCCTTCTCCAGAGAAGAATAAGCAGAGCCCAGGAGACTGTCACCGCGAATCCATAGGGGCCACAGGAACCGCAGAAAGGAAGGAAGGCGGAGTTAAATGCATATCGTTTCCCGATTTGGCTGGTGAGGCTGAAGATGGAAGTCCTGGTGTCCCTATCTCACCTTCTCCGAAAAAGAAAAAACAGAAATCCAACGACTACAACAACGAGCACCAAGAAAACTCTGCGACAGCCACAKGAAACATCACTGCCGGTTCACAGAAAAGTGCAGAGTGCACGGACAAAAAACGTCTTCGTGATTTACCGCATTCCGAACATCCGTTTTCCGCAACAACATCTAGGAACCTGTCTGTTTCCTCTTCTTCCTCTGATGAGAATGTTAATCGTAGGCGAAGCAACAGGGAGAGAAAAAAAGTTGAAAGTTATCTTTCTGCATCTTCAGTGGAATTCTCGTCTTCTTCCAAGAAGCCTCCTTCCAATGGCACTAGTAATGGAAGAAGAAAGACTGGCAAATTAGGTGTAAACAATTTAACGAAAAAGGAGGCTAGGCATATACTCATCGATAAAATGGGCATTTGCGAGAAAGAGGTCGATTGGGCACTTGACAAAATGCCTCCCCCATACAGCCAAAATGAAGTAGTAAATTTTATTCACAAGGAAAGGGAAAAGAAGGAAAATGGATCGAACGACGGCTCTGAGCAAGTCTTTGTAAGATTTAAGCCCGAAACCGGGATGAAGGTTCGCGTTAGGGAAGGCGGGTCTAGCTATCACGGGGAGGTAACGAAAGGTCCAACTTATATGAAGAAACAGGGAGACTCAGAGCCACACAAATTCTGGGAAGTTACCTTTCTCGATGGAAAGAAGGAAGATTTGGATTGGAATGAACTCTTTCTTAACAGAGCGAGTCGCCCCATCGTGAAAGGTGATGGCTGTCGCGGACGAACCTTGTACGCGTTAGAACTGTTCTCTGGAGAAGGGATTGTGACGCAAGAATTCTGCGAAAAAAAGTGGTGTGTCAAATCGATAGACAATCGCCCTGAATCCTACGCTACGAACATCCTAGACTTAATGGAGATAAAGTACCGGGATATTGGGTTTGTACCAGATTTCATATGGGCCTCACCTCCGTGTACAACATGCAGCCCTCTTTCTGGAAGCCACCATCGTGACTGCAAAAACGGTGAATTTGAAAAGACAAAGGAGGCATCTGACCATAATCTTCTAATGGCTCAGATGATGTATATCTTGAATTGGGCGAAAAAGAAGAATCCTCATTTGATCGTGGTCATCGAAAATCCGCGAGGACAGATGCAGAATCTTCCTATGATGATTGAGTTTGCGAGGAATTTTGGCCTTCATAAAGCAACTGTAGACTACTGTGTGTTCGGGCGCCCTGACAAGAAACCCACAAATCTTTGGACTAACGTGAGTGACACGTGAAGTGCGAATCGATTTATTGTGAAAAATTCTTCTCTTGCTAACATTGTGCGCGTCTTGTTGTCAATCTAAACGTCTGGGTTTGATTTGCAAAACTGCCAGGAGTATGATCTGTTTTCAAGATTGAGCCTTGATTTCCGTTGTAGGGAAGATACTTGTCCCTATCATTGTAGTAGGCACCCAGCAAGTGCTCGTGGTTATACAAACATATTCAACGTGGCAGCAATACCTAAGCAGCTTGCCGAAGAAGTTGCCGATTACGTTCACTCAAGATTTTATTTTGATCGAGTCGCTCATTCTCCCAGAGCGACTCTTTCCCGTGAAGAAGAAGAAGAGTTTGACTTTCGCATGTCTCGGGGTTAATACTTTCTCCTTGACTCAAAATGAATATCATGCTTCAACACAAGACTATGTCATTGGGCACAAGATTTCAAGAACTAATTCATTCCTCTACTGGTAAAATTTGTGGATAGTAGACAATTGATAACTATCGCAGATTTAATTGTAATCCAGCTTATTCCAATTCAATTGTGTACTTCTCGATAAAAACATGTACAAGTGCATCATTTCATTTATGATTTATCCGAACAATAATATTTGTGAAATGGTTTGATAGACTCTGATGATCACTGTTCGGATCTCAAAAATTTCCGCGATATTTCGCCATTTCTATCATCTCGGCTGACACGAAACCAGAACACTAATACAAAATCTTGAAAAAAAGCAAGCCAGAAATAAAGACAGAGAAGACTGTCGCACGAATACTTCCAGCRGAGCTTTCATRTACGGTATCGACAGCACCATCACTAGAAACAAGATCGCCAACTTGTCCGACATTATCACCATCACTCTCGACATTTACAGTTTCTTCTGAGAGAGCACAAGCAGGATTTCGCTCAACTCCTTCAAAGATGCTCTTCGGGATCAGGGCATGCATGCCCCAGTTGCCATCAACTAATTGGGTCATTCCAAAGTTAACCGCTTGCGTGATGATAGTCCATGCTTCAAATTCACTCAAACTGTACTTTGCCATCATCCATTTTCGAGTTTGCGTGAAGGCGTTCTTCATTGCAGGATCAATTGCAGAGTCGCCATACACCCCACTTTCTTCACCGGGGGCGAAATCCTCTAGATAATCTGTGTGAGTAAAAGCCTACAAATCCAGAAACAAACGAGAATGATCATTAGTTTATGAGCAATTAATACGCACAAGCCTTCACGTAATCCATTCAAGACTGCTATGTTAATCCAACTTACATGAATGATCCATTGATCCTCTGTTTCACCCAAGGGGAAGTCTTGGACCTTCATTGCTTCATCAAAATCTGCTGCCTTAATCAAACTGATTTTGAATTTCCCAGTGATACTCGTTTCGATTCCAGTTCCGTCCAGCTCGCTATCTCCTTGCGCCGCATGAGCATCGCCCATGCTCAACAAACCCCCAGCTACCTCCACAGGGTAATACATTGTGGTTCCTTTTCCAATACGTTTATTGTCGAGATTGCCACCTGTGGGAAGCGGTGGAATCGAGTCAACATACGAATGCGATCCTGGTGCGAGCCCCATGCAGCCAACGTGCATATTGACAGGGATTTTTGCACGGAAGACGTCGTCATAGTAGGTGATATTGTCATCTTTCATCCAGCCCATATCTAGAACATCCGAAGACACGAATGAAGTGGACCCATGAGGTTCGTGCGGTACACAAGTGCCTGGATAAGCAATATAGTCACGCATAGTTCCGTCAGGATCGGTCAAAACTGGCCATTGGTACTGATAAAGTGGCACTGCATATGACTTGCCATCAGCTTCGTCTATCATTTCATATATTGTAATAATTTCATCATTTTCATCTGGAGTGTCTGTAAAGGTTCCTGCGCTGAAAGATGAACCATCCGCTTTCGGAAATCTCGCCTGATAACCCCACCAAGCCGCTGCGTTAGAGCCAAAAGTCTTCCCTTCTGGATTTGGTCTGAAAGAAAGATCCAAAATTTCGACCGCAATCATATCGCCTGGCTCGGCATCTTGAACAAAAATTGGGCCTGTCAAAACGTGAACACCATCACCTCCTGATGTTGCTCCTCTCTGGGCTTCGTTTTGCTTAGCGGGAGACCAATGGAATATATCTTCCATGCCTACAGAAATATAGAAAGAGGTAAATCAGGGCCCTGGTCAAAACAGAAGAAAAATGGCGCCAGAAAAGCATGGTTATGAGTTACTTACCTTCATCCCCAGCGATCATTCTATCCCAATCGTCGCATGCATGATGTGTTGCCATTTCGACCACAACTTCATCTCCACTGTTAACAGTTAGAACGGGATCCAATTCTTTACTGAAATACCCCCAATGGACATTGTCAGAATTCAGTGGCAAATCAGCAGATATTGGTGCCGATCTTTCTATCACGGGGTCATTGATTTTGATGCCACCTCCATCTCCTTCATAGGTTTCAAAGATCATCTTAGGAACAACTGCATGAACACCCCAGTTTCCGTCAACCACTTGAGTGATTCCGAAATCAACTCCTTGAGTAATCAATGTATTTGCTTCGGGTTCGGTGATACCATACATCGCCATGATGAACTTTCTTGTTTGCATATAGGCATTAGCCATAGCAGGATCGATCTCTGAATTGCTGTAGATATCGGATGGCTGCTCGGCRAAAGTCTCCAAATAGTCTGTTTCAGTAAATCTGAAATGAATGTACATCGGGGTGGGAACGAAAGAAAATATGAGGAATAGCATTTGATAATGAAAGGAATGGCACCAGATGCTCTCTCATACTTACCCGTGAACGATCCACTCGGTCTCAGTCTCTCCCAATGGAAAGTTCTGTACCTTCTGTGCTTCGTTGAGGTCCTTTGCTTTAATGACGCTTAACTTAAAATTTCCCGTCACACTGGTTTCGACTCCGGTTCCGTCCAATTCACTATCTCCTTGTGCGGCATGTGCGTCTCCCATGCTCAGCAGGGCACCTGCTACTTGGACAGGGTAGTACATTGTCGTGCCGGCAGCAATGCGTGTATTGTCTAGATTTCCACCAGTTACCATAGGTGGAATAGAGTCAACGAATTCATGAGAGGCCGGTGGCAATCCCATGCATCCGATGTGATAGTTAACAGGAATTTTGGCGGGAAAGACATCATCGTAATATTTGATACTTCCTTCCTTTTTCCAACCCATATCTGTGACAGACGAAGTGGGAGCGAACTCTTCACTACAGCCATGAAGATCGTGGGGGACGCACGTTCCAGGATAAGCAATGTAGTCTCGAACAGTTCCGTTGGGATCTGTGACTTTTGGCCAACCGAACTGAAACTGGGGAATGACAAAGGACTGGTCTCCTTCGTCGATCACCTCGTAAATTGTGATGATTTCATCGTTTTCATCCTATTCGTTTGCGAAGGAGGTAGAACGAAGCATAAAAAGAAAAATGAGGATGTATGAAAATCGAAACTATAGACCAATTTCAGGCTAGGGTCGAATCGTTGGCTCTTACCGGTGTTCCAGTGAATTCCCCTGCCTTGAAATCACTTCCATCGATTCTTTTCACCCTGGCTTGAAATCCCCACCAAGCGGCAGCATTGGACCCAAAGGTGCGTCCGGTTTTGGGATTCTTTCGTCGTTTCAGGTCGAGGATTTCGACCTTGAGTAGATCGCCGGGCTCGGCGTCTTCGACATAGATCGGGCCCGTTAGAATATGGACACCGTCGCCTCCTCCCGTGGCACCTCGAAAGTGCTCATTTGCACCGTTCATGTGGTCCCAGTAAAATACATCTTCCATTCCTGGATCTCCCTCGATCATCAAATCCCAGTCATCGCAGCCATGATGGGTAGCCATCTCGACTTCCACCGTATCTCCGCTGCTAATGGTGATGGCCGGAGCTAGGGATTTCGAAAAATAGCCCCAGTGGACATTGTCCGCTGAGAGAGGAAGAGAGTGGTTTGCTGCCTCTATAGTAGAGAGTAGCATCATGGAGAGAGCTAAGGTTGGTTTCATGGTTGATCAGTTCAAGTTGTTGTAAAATTCGTTTTGTGATTTGGAAGAACAAAAACAATGGAAGTTTTGCACGGTAATGATATTTCATCCCAAATATCCAAAAAAATTACTTACGCCAGCACGCGCCCATGCATCGATGAAAAGATATTCTTTTCTGCGAAAACCTAAAAATCCTACGAACCGTAGAATTGTAGGGAAGCGAAGTTCAGCAGATGGGGCGCGAAAGAAGTATGAAGCAGGAATGTGACACTCTAGTTCTTTCATGGAAATTCTTTCATGGAAATTCTTGACTTGGTTCAAGAAAGAGAACAGTGTGCTGTAACAGTGCCGAGAAGATTAACATCTTACCTATGGTACTCGTACGCGGTAGTTGTATCTATTGCATATGGTAAGAATCCGTAAGGGGAAGAATAATACCATACGTACACAATACGAGTACCTCTTGCCCGTACGAAAAGAGATCCAACTCAGACACTCATACATCTGAATTCTGCTTCCTCGTCTTTCGTTGGAAGGAGTAATCGCCCCGGGAAGAGTGGTGGGGTGYGTCGAACACTTGATAGCTGGCCATCATTTCTTTTTGAACGATATCATCACAGGTGTGAGGGGTCGAGGGATTTCAAAACATCATGTCTGATTTAAGCTATGAGAAAACGCTCCCCAACAAATCGACCTCCCGGAATATGAAGTGACCTTGTCGTCTCTCTCTGCTTGATCGGAGGGATGCAGATGAAATAGGATTTTCGTAATCAAAGGAGTTTACCGAACAATCCAAAAATCAATGCCTTCTAAACAGGCTGCGATCACGAATGCCCAAAAGCTGCGGACATGAACTAAGAATCTCGAACATACAGCCCATGAAAGCAAAGGTATTGTGCGGTGTGCGGGAAAAATTGAGGTAAGAACATGATACCGTACAACSAATGGTGTTGACGCTATGCGCTATGTTAAAGATTGGAAAGAAATTCCAAAAGATAAACATGAAAAATCAGTCAACCAGTACAAAAAGGAATCGAACGATATAGATAACAAAGTAATGTACCGTAGCTTCGGAGAAGATACAATCAAATATTGTGACGGACTAGATACTCATTGAGATGATAACGGTACACAGTCAAAGCAGCAAATACGAGTATATTGAACCCATGAATTTAATTCACATCAATTCTTTACCATGATTATCCGGGATAATTGTGCACGGATGTTGAAAATGAGTCATTTTTTCAATTTGCATGTTACGCATCATTTCGTTTTCGGACGTCCTTGGTGACGCAGGACAAATCATTTTCCAAAGTTTTGATCTTTTACGATAGTATAAAAGGAAAGTGTGTCATGATGATTGCAGCGTAATTTTTCGATGCGGTGAACTTCAACATTGCTTTGTGCAGCTTTCGCAGTTCAATTATTCCGTTACTGTTTTCTTGAGTTTATCCAATACAATCATCACTTTCGTTTGCTCTTGTATACAATCTGCTCGTGACACACAAACTTAATGACATTCGAATGGCCACTGCACACTCTAGCGGTTGCTTTTTTCTGTTCTTCCATTTAGAGTTCTTTCACCATGAATACATTCGCACTACGTTTGTTTGGATTCTCCCTTGGTTCGAAACCAAACTTGCGGTAAAGCTGGACAGCTGGCTGGTTTGCTCCCAACACCTCGCTGTAAAAAAAGTAATGTATTGAGCAATAGTCCATAAATATTAGAAAATTCATCTGGAAATCAAACGACTGTGGACGAGATCGAACGTTTTTCAAACAAAAAAGACACATTGCGATGCCGGGACAGGAATCACTCAAGATCTTCCAGCTGTCGTCAAAATAACATCTCCGGAGAGAAAAAACAGGACTTACAGAGTAAGAGCTTTTGCGTCTGTTTTGGTCGTCGCGTGCTCGATGATCAATTCCATCAGTGCGTTCGCAACCCCCTGTCGTCGTTTTTTGTAGTGAACGTCCATGTTTTTGATGTGCAAATGCGAAGGCAGGCCCTCGACGGTGCGGACCCCCGTGGGGCTGTTCGGAGAATTGCGGAGCTGGGTGTCCACGGTCGCGATGATTCCGTTCGAGGGGGCGTAGATTTTCTTCCACATCTCGTCCTCGCTCGTCGACACCGCCACAAATCCCATGTCCTGCTTCCGCAAGAGTCCCTCGGACAAATCGACGACGATTCTGTTCGTCGCCTCGGGGACATCGGGCACATGGACTCCTCTGCCCATATAGTTATTTACAGCCAGGATCGCTCCGAGGGATCCACCAAAAAGCCCTATTCAAAAACAATGTCAAGATTGTTCGTTGAGATCGGCCGATAGAAATAATTGTTTCTTAGTGGTCTATTTTTTCGAATTTTGGTATTTTGCGTTTCCTACTCACCGTAGTTGCTGAGAGCCGCAGTCAATGCGTTATCTCCCGATGTCGAAACATATGTACCGATCCCGATGATTGGTCCGACGTACAAGAGGCCGGCCTTGAGGCCATTGATCGCTTCTTTTGTCGTATCAAGAGAGTCGCGTTTCTTTTGCGCTCTCTCAACCATCATTTGCGGATTGACCATGTTGTTTCGGTAGGCAGCTACATCAACCACCGTGGGATCGTCTTCTCCTCCCTCGACGGCCCGCACAATGAAATCGGCGTTGCTGGTTTCGACTGCTTCCGCGTAAACCGCCGTGCTCGTTCTCGACGACAGAGCCGCTCCGCTTGGTGTCACAAACGCATCGGTCGATGTTGCTGCAAGGGAGGCAATGAACAGGAGCGATTGGATCGAAAAGGCCATGGTGTGGTATCAAAGGTATTTCAGGGGTGGTTTGCCGGTTTGGTATGGGAGATGTGGGGAGATGTGTCGAGCTGGTTATTGGTCGTCTGTGATGGCTTTGATTCGATAAAAACGTTTCATGGTAGACACCGTACCGGTAGATCCAAACAGGATTTCAGTGAAGTACTTGCTAGTATGAACACCACTTATTCGTCGTACTAGTACGAGTACTCGTATTCATTCGTCGTTGAAGTTGGTTTGATTATCGTTCCGCGCTAATGACGATCGATGGAGCGCKATTTCATTCATGAACCTACGGGACTCCATTTTTTACTGTCTTSAGACAAGATATTTTGAATGCTCGCCCGGCGACAACGGCGCGACCTGAACTGTTTCTTGTTAAGATTCGTGAAAACAAAAATTGTTAGAAAATCCAACGGTAATCGATCGTACATGTAGTACTGGTAACATGTGGGAAGCACAGTAATACGTACGAGGTACTCATACGTACGAGATATCTCTAGTATCGTCGTCGAACGGTACCGGTACGGGTACAACAAGTATCCATTTTCCTACCCAAAACCTGATTTTCGATTTTCTGGTTACGGCCTGCCTCTCCGTGCGGTACCGGCCGGTAGTACCAGGTACCGTACACGGACCAGTATGAACGATAGTGAGTACGAGTTGKAAGTCTGTTGTTCAATCTCGCCTCGGAATCAACAGCTGCATCCCGAAATCTATTTATCGATGCTAGGCTGGAGGAACTCAATTTTGAAAGCCAATCGCAAAAGATAGAATGATGCAGCAGAATGACAACGATGGAAGCAGCGACCACCAGAACAGAGAGCCAATTTTAYATCACGGCAGACCAGAAGAGGAGCCTATCCCGTCGTTGTCTCAGTCAGTCAGTTTTGCGGATATTGCTAGCTTAGCTGGTACATTTATAGAGCGAAAGGCCGAAGATGCACGTCCGTTGCTTCCAAAAGCAGCCTTCTTTATGGGCGATCTGAGAGATGGGTTGCCTATGGTACGAGCCAGAAAATGAATCAATCCATGCGTTTYCTTTTATTACAGTACCATAKCTCATGGTAACAACACCTTGTGTCTCGTTTTCTCTATGCAYAGTTGAACATGCAAGCTGTCTTTCTGATGTGTTCAAAAGGTTTCTCAGARAAACAAATAGGGGTATTGTTTTTAGCATTCGGACTGTCTCAATTTGTATGCATGACACCGGCAGGTTACTGTTTAGATTACTCGAATCACAAAATAGATTGGGTGAATTTGTCGGGAATAACGACGTCTCTYCTTACAGTAGCGACGGTTGTTATGGCTCGAGAYGGTGGAAGCAATATGTGGCTAATGATCCTTTTCAAAATATTGCAGGGGGGAATGTCTGCAATCTTGCCTCCTGGATTCAATAGTATTACTCTGGGAATCGTGGGGAGTACGGGCTTCACGGTTCAAGTAGCCAAGAACAGAGCCATGAATCACATCGGAACTGCTCTSATTGTTGCTGTTGGTTCGCTAATTGCCTACCTTCTTTATCCAAACATCGGTGCCCTCTTTATAGTAAGTCCTCTTACAATGATTGGCGTTTATTACAATATGGTTCGCATCAAACCAAATCACGTAGATCGTGATGCTGCAAGAGCCTTGATCATTGAATCTCCTACAATGACAGAATACGAGCAACTGGAGACACAGCATACGATGGGATCACAAATACCAGAAATGAGCTACGAAGGAAGCGACTATATTGCAACAGGCAATACCTCGTCCACGGATTCGTCAAGCGATGACAATTCGTACATACCACCCCCACCGCATGTTGGCAACCCAGGTATCTGCGAGAGCCATGTTGCATTGGAAGATGCAAACGCGACAAACTCCCAGGAAACGGTTGAATTGGACAAAATACACCAGCAGCCCCTATCACATACCAGTATCCCAAGTTTCAGATTTGGATGGGGAGTCAGGAGCAAATGCGAGCTACACCAACCCAGGACACCCCTGGCGGTATTGCGCGATCCAACACTCGTTACATTCACAATCATTGTGTTTTGCTTCCACATGGCCAATTCGTCGGTATTGCCGTTGGTCATGCAGAGTTTGGCCGTCGAAGACRTGAAATCAGGGATCCTTCTTTCTGGATTGTGCATTTTTATTGGCCAGGCTTTCATGTCCTATTTCTCGAAAGTATGCGGCGAGTATTCGCCAAAGTGGGGAAGAAAGAGTTTGATTCTGGTTGCACTGTCATCGTTAACGGTACGGTGTTTGTCCCTGACCGTGTTGATGACCGCCAAAAATGAGGTTAAAACGCCGATGGAAGCCTTGATTGTGAGGTCTCTGATCGTTGCGACACAACTGCTCGACTCCGTAGGTGCCGGGATATTCGGAACCATGCACATCCTTGTAACGAACGATATAAGCAGCAGATCCGGTCGGTTTTCTTTGATGATGGGAATCACATCGAGTGCGATGTGCCTCKGTGCTACCGTGTCGAGCTACATCGGCCAATCCATGGCACACGCACACGGTTACGCGATGGCCTTTATGTTGCTTGGGGCTCTGTCACTCGTGCCTCTGCTGCTGTATGCCTTCTTCATGCCCGAAACTCTGCCCGACTATGTCCGACCAACCAACAGGAAGCGCCGCCTGGTGGCAATTCTGAAGCGACTGAACGATCAGAGGCGGCGATTTTTCCGTCGGAAAAGGAAAAAGAACAAGTCCGTGCAGCTCGAAGACGGTGGCGAAAAACGCGAGGCKCTTTTCCCAGAGTCCGGTGGCAACGACGGCAACGACAARCACAAACACAACGAGGAACCAAAGATCGAGCTGGTATAGGCCGGAAAAAATTACAGCACCGGCTTGTGACAACCAGCTAGAAGCAGCACAAAGCAGCATAGAAATTCAGMTAATGCCTAGAAATAAAAGTAAAGTACTCTCTATTGCACACAAAGGGCCATCGGTGCTGCGCATTGCAAGTCGGGTTCAGCGGCAGATAAGTTACGGCTAGCTAGCAAACGATGCCTTTCTGCTTCCATCGATCCCTGGCAGCGTCTCTGCCAAAGGTGCACGGCAACGGAATGGAGGGGCGATCGGTGCCCATCGGGGTGTTGGTGCTGGGTCGCACAGTCCGTCGAGGGCACCCCGATCAGAAATTGACCACGCGTTTCTTTTTCTTTGGTTCCGTCGACGCCGGCTGTTTGGCCTTGTCCCTGCTCGCCTTCTTGGTGTTGGACACCCTGCTGTCGGGGTTGTCCTCGACCTTCAAGACCTCCTCGAGGAGCTCTTTTTCCTTGTCGTTCCTCCTCTTCTCGTTCTCCTGTTCCTCCCGCTCCTTCTTTCGCTTTCGCTTCTCGGGGCAGTTCGTCGCCAGGTGCTGGAGGGAGCCGCAGAACCGGCAGGACCCGCCGTTGACGTAGATTCCGTGGGTGTTCCTGGAGCATGCCGAGGCGAGGTGGCCCTTTTCTCCGCACACAAAGCAGGTGGCAAAGGGCAGGTCGGTRGGGTCCCCCCGGTGCCGCTTCGGGCAGTTGTGGAGGGCGTGCTCCGTCGACCCGCACTTGTAGCAGATGGAAGTGTCCGCGCAGGGGGTRCAGGCCACCGCCCCGCCGCTGCTGCTTCCCTCYCCCCCGCCGCTTCGGTTCGGGCACTCGGCGGCGTTGTGTCCGGGCTGCCGGCAGTTGTAGCAGACAGAGTTCTTATTGGTTCTYCCCCCGCCGTTCCGGATGCCGTTTTGCTTGTCCCGGCGTTTCCTGGCAATGTCTGTGTATTTCTTTCGGCGTTCCTCCTTGGTCATCTTAGGCTTCGGGCMGCGGCCCCCCTTGTGCCGGTCCTTCCGCATGTTTACCTTCCGTGTTGCTGTTATTGTTGCTCTTTCTGTAGAGACCATGGTTTTGCTGGTAGATGGATTCGTGGGTTGGTGGTTGTATGACACGGCTTCTTCTTTGGCGGTCGAGTCAATTGGTGATAACTTCCAGGTTGCTYCAATCCGGTACCGTACCGTACGATACCTGTTCCATCCGACAGAAGGACTTCTTTCGTTTTGGGGCAGTTCCAGAATTAAGAAAACAAAAACACTCTCAGCTCTCGAATTCAAATCAAAATACTTTWACCTCGCGGAATGCAAAAACCCAGACGTCGGTTTCCATTTTCCGTGGTTGGCTTTTGCCACATCCACGCCAGACCGGGTCGACAGACAGACAGACTAAAAGACAGACATACGACTGACCCAAGACACGAATGGATTCTCGAACCCGACATCGCGCATGATCGCGCAATCGCGGTGATGTGGGAATACCCCGTCGGGGGGCCTGACTCGATGTTTCCAGCGCAAAACAATTGTGATAGTACAGTACGAGTTGTACCGTACGAGGCAATGATGTCGTTGTGTCGTTGTGTCGTTGTGTGAGTTGTTTGTTCGATGCGTACGACGAGAATTCGTGTTTGAAACAGAGCATCGATCCGAAACGAAACGATGCGATACCGTGTAGATGGTTACGGTACGACACCCCGACCTCGTCGATGGACGTCCCCTTCACAACCCTGTCTCGCCTCTTTCTCACAAAGATAATCTACCAACACCAAATTCTTAAAATTCACGTCCAACAGAAACCATGGCTCCGCGACAAATAACAAGCACCATCCTCCTCGCCTCGTTCCTCGGTCTCTCCTCGACGACCCAGGCYTTCACGGCCGCCCCGGCACCGGGGTTCCGGGCCGCCACATCGCTCGCTGCCGCGAACAACGAACCCACCCCCTCGGTGAGCCGCAGAAGACTGCTRGAGAGGGCCGGGGCCTTTGCCGCCGCGGCGGTCTTTGCACCCGTRACGGCGGCCAGCGCCCTGGACATGGAAGCCTTTGCCAACTCCCAGGTAAGCATCGCCCKCCGCATGGCGTCTTCCGATGCCGGAACGCCACCCGGACAAACCCACGACGGCGGTCCTCGACGCGGGGATTGCACCGAATGCTAGACCCTCACCGTTTTCTGCCTGCTYCCTCTCGCACCCYATCTCTGCRCGCACACGATTCCGATTCGTTYCGTTCCGTTCCGTTGCAGATCGAGGCGGACATCAAGAACTGCGACCCAAAGCGCGACCCCAAGTGCATACCGAAGCTGAACGCCGACGAGGCCCTCTGCAAGTACGGGCAGAGCGGATCCGCCAGGGGGGAGGCCTGCAAGCGGGTSAAGGCCGCGGGGGGCGACATTTCCCAGAAGCCACAGGGAAAAGCCCTGGGGGGAGCCTACGCCATGTAACGAATCCATGCAACGAATCCATGCAACGAATCCATGCAACGAATCCATGTAACGAATCCATGCAACACCAGAGAAAGGCCGCACGGAACCGCATCGCTGCCACAGCGTCCGGCAGCGCACCGTGCCACAATAGAAGAATCCACCACGAAACCATAGCAATAACATTGTCACTGTAACAAAATATTTTGAACACACCAATCTTTTTCTGAAGAATAGGTCCGTGTTGGCCGGGTGCTTTCCAATCGATAGGTCGTGTCATCGCAACTCTCCGTTTGCGAAAAGGAACCATWTGTTGCAACTTCTTTTACATTTTGTGCGGTTTCTACAAACCAGAGGCCGACAACWTTTGCCACTGTTGTATTTTCCTCTAGGCTGCATCTCTAATTTTCCTCCATACTGTAGAGCCGYTTCGAATGGTCGTCTTTGCCTCCGTGTTCTACGGTGTCGTACCCCTTCGAAACCATTGGTGTTCTGTTTGCCGGAAGGAATCCGATTGCTCTTCGAGGYCCTCTCGTTGGACCACAAAGACTACGTGCATTGCATCCTTTTGTCTCTCCATTGTTTGCTTCTGTGTGCACACCCTCGGCGCCTCCGGACCGGAGCACCTTCCGGAACGATTCGCACGATTTCGYCGCACGGCCCGTCCACCAGTGGGCACGGGAGTTCCTGCGAGAACGCCAAGACGCCCCCGGGGGCCCGTTGTGGCGAAAGGCCCGGTACGACGCGGCGCGGCGCGGCTCGTTTTCGTTTTTCTTCTTCTCTCGCACTCGGGAACGGAACCGCTCAGCGGGCGACAGTGTCCAATTTGTGTGCCCGGTGCGTGATGCCACCAGCGGGCAGAGGGTGCGCCCGGTGGATGATGCCCTTGTCGTTGCTATGGCGCGGGAACCACGGTCGAGCTGAGTGACGACGCAAAGTACAGTACCGTAGGGTACGTACTTCGGCTTGTGCTTCGTATTTCGGGAAGGACCAAGAAAAATCCCAACCAGAGAGGGTGTATACGTACCTTCTCCTCATAGATAGAAATAGTAGTATTGTATCTATTGAACCAATCCCGGCCACGTGGAAGCAAAGCTCCGGGTTTCGGAGAAGAAAGAATTTGCTACCTGAAACCTCGTAGCATCGAGTAGGAGAACTACTTCGATCGAACCCACCTGTCTCGCCATATCCTTGCGTGAGAGTCGGTACTAGAAGTACGTAGACTATCGTACCGCATCGACCATGCATCGAAAACGCATCGCTGGGCGTTCCGTTGTTTATGTGATTTTTCGTTTCTTCCCGAGTTGTTCTTCTCTACCAGCCACTGCACCGTCAACCCAGGAGAACCCGCCACGGCACCATCGCGTGCCATTTTCGAGTGAAAAAGAACATCCCAAGCTGAAACACCATCTGCAGAAAAATTGTGCCAATACGGAACAGCAACACTTCCACCCAGCCGGGTACGATTGATCACGCCGCAGCTTGGTACGAGWACGAGTACTTTACGACAGACCGACCTCGACACACACCAGATCACACTATTCTTTCGATTGCGCAGCAGGTCCATCCATCATTGGTTCCTTCGCTTTCTCCCGAGCTACAACAGCGAGCACATCCAAACCGAGCCACTCCACCGACGTCTTTCGCGACGTTCCACATCCCATCGGCGAGGCATCCCACCGCAATCAGTTTCACACAGCACAATAGCACGGTCTCGATCCATCACTCCGACGAGGCCCGACACGACACGACACGACACGACACGATCCATTCGAACCAAAGCCGACGCAATGAGGGGACCGCAGCCAACACGCCGGGAAGAACGCGAACGCGGTAGGGAAGCACCTCCCTCCCCACCAAACCGCAGGCGCCGCTTTCGGGGCTCGCAGCGGAGGGACGGAGCGCACGCACACGCACACGCGCACGCACACGTACACAAGCACAAGCACGGCGTCTGCTGGACCACGGCGCTGATCGTGTGCGTGGCGACGCTCAACAGCATCCAGACGATCGAATACGGGGAGTCCTTTGTCTTTCGGACGACCACGTTGGCGGGAACCCACCGCGATCCGGAGCCGGCGCGCAAGCAGSGAAGGTGCCACGGCGAAACRCCGCGATCCGTCCCCCTGGCGGCGTGTGGCGCCCTGGGAGCGGCACGGCGCGGGGAKGATCCCTGGTCGTTGTCCTCCAGCACCACGAAGCAGCGGAGAGAGACCCATCGAGGGAAGAAGTTGGGAGGACACCAATCGGTTTCGGGCGCAAAGGRAGAGACAAAACCGCTGGCACCGACGCGATCGGCGCAGTCCGTCGCGTCGATTGCCGATGCCTCGTACCAGCTATTGGACCACGAGCTCCTGACCAAGGACGAAGAATACGAGCTGGGTCTCAAGATTCGAAAATTCATCGACACCAAGACCCAGATCGAAGAAATGATGAAAAAGAAAAAAGAAGAATACGAACGACGACAAGARGAAAACCAGCGTCGAAGGGAAAAAGCGGCCGAGGACCGACGGAGACGAAGGACGGAGAAGATAACGAGAATGGAAGACACCATGGAGGAATTAGAAGACGACGACGACGAAAACGACGACGATCTTTCCATGGAAGAAGAACTGGAAGAGTACCTGGTGACCAAGGGCCTCGTGTCTGGAAACAAATTCGATCGCAAGCGGTCCGATTCTCGGTTGACCAGGCACCGATCGTCCATCGAAGAACTCTACGGGGTCTACGACGATGACGACGACGACGAGGAAACCATGATGGAAGAACTGGGAATGGCCATTTATGGGATCGAAAACATCGACGACGATGGCCTTTCGGACGGTCTCACGGTAGTGGAATCCAGAAACGAGTTTGATTTCGACGGCAGCAACGGCAACAATTACAACCACAACAACTACGACGACGAAGACGACTACGGATTCGGCGWGGAGGACGAATTCGATTCGCTRGCGGAAACCTCTGCCTCCTCCCAGCTGGGCGATGTCATGGACAGCATTCGGATGCTCACGGAAGCAGACATCGTGGACGAGCTCGGAATCGAGGGCGGCCGGGACGAACTCTCGAAAATCCTCATCGACGGTGCGCTCGCCAAGCAGCAAATGATCAAGAGCAACGTCCGGCTGGTGACGAGCATCGCAAAGAAGTGGATGCGGACGTCCGCCTCGTCCGTCCACAAAAACCGCAACGCCGACAACGAAAAGAATCGCAAGGGGAGCAACAACCTCGGCGACTGGTCGACGCCCTCCCTGGACGAGGTCGTCCAGCAGGGAATCGTTGGGCTGGCCATTGCGGCGGAGCGCTTCGAACCAGAGCGAAAGTTCAAGTTCAGCACCTACGCCACMTACTACATCACCAACGAGATCCGACAGATCATGCAATCCGCCACGACGCAGTGCCTCTACGTCCCGCCKTACTTTTACACCATCAAGAACAAGTACGAAAAAATCGTCAGGGACAACTACCGRGAAACCGCGGGAGACCCGGCCCGGTCCCTGGGCATGGACGAAATCGCGGCCCTTCTCAAGCTCAAGCGGACGAGGCTGGAGTTCATCCTCAAGTCGACCCAGACCCTGGCCCAGCTCGATGCCAGCCTCGAYACCTCCAACTACAACGCCGGAAAGGCCGGATCGGGACCGGACRGTGAAAAGGTCGAGACCCTGGCGGACATTCTCCCAGCGTAAGTCAAGTACTCGCGGCATTTGTTTTCGGGGGAAGACMAACCCATTTTTTGCTCASGAAACACAWTGGTAAATTTACTGACCTAATTTTCATTTCWCGCGCTTTTGTTCTGAAWTKTCCTTGTTGTAGCGACGATCCGAGCCCGGAAGAAATCGTCGAGCGATCCCTGCTGAGGCAGTGCCTCGAAAATGCTCTCGCCGCCGAGCTCCTTCCGCTCGAGCGAGACATTGTTCGGCTCCGGCACGGGCTGGACGATGGAAAGTCGCGGACCCACAAGGAGGTCATGGGCTCCTTTGGCGGCTTGCTCACGCTCAACGACATTCGCACCGCGGAGACACGGGCGTACCGCAAGCTCCGCTTCAAGAGCTCGGTGCACAACGCGAGGCTGAGGGAGTTCGCGGCGGAATTCATCGGGGTGGCCCCCGAAAAGCTCAAGACGGTATAAACGAGGTAGGAAGGAAACGGCCTTTCGCTAACGATCGATTGGGCACTAGTTCCGTTACCACAAATAATTCAGTCAACAATAACAATACGTTGTAACATTATGCACTATATTCACAATGTATATTTAGAGACTACTATTTTCTATCTTGGCGTCGACTTCCCATTTTTTTGAATCGTTCACCATCTTTTTACAAAAAAGTACACGAAGGAGCATCAGTGATTCATGACGCGTACACGTAGTTGGATCGATTGGAGTTTTCAATTCCCTCTGCACTACGCTCTGCACTCTAGAAGATTTTCAAACAATAGACGCATTTCTCCTTCTTTCGTGCTCTGTTCGGTATCAAGCTTCATAATAATTTTCGTCATGGCAGGTCCACTGGCTTCATTCATTATGAACGAGAGACACTTTGCATCAAAGTTGAGAACGCCATCGATTTCCCCTTCACATTCTATCAATCTTTTCACAATAGCCTCGGCAAAAGCGAGCACTGCCTCCGAATTTCCCTGAATTGCATCGAAAAAGATTTTGATAGACCCCCCTTCGTCCCATATGTCATTTATGGAACACACATTTTCAAAAGAAACAGGCACTTTCCCCGATTCGATTATACGTCTTGAAACCACGAAAAATGAGGGCAGTAGATTACTGATTCCGTTCCGTAGGCGAAGCAACAACTGGAGCTCCTTTTTCATCATCTCGGCAGCACCACTCTCCTTAAAGTGGCTGTTGCACTTGACGAGTAGATCTTCTAACAAACTACAGTTCCCAGAGGCCCGAAACAATTGAATTGATAGACGAACGAAGGCATKAATTAGTTGCTCTTCGACAGGCCATCTGCTCTGGTYAAAAATTTGGCTCCAGCCTACTGCAGCCTTAGATATTTCATCAGCGTTCGTCATCCCCATGGCAAGCATTTCCGACGATAGGATGCAAGAAGACAATAGGAGTGCACTGCCAACTTTTGCAGAATAGATGACCGGAGAATCGATGGGAGTTGCCACAAACAATGAAGATGTACCTCGCATGGCCTCCGGAGTTCTTCCACAATTCGCCTTTTGCTTCGGAGGTGACATCAGCGACGGCGATCCAGGTGGAATATGCTCCACAGACATTGATAGCCGATTCGATATGCTTGATAGATCTAAATCACGAAGTGCCGCAGCTCCATCGTCCGATCGCATAAATGCTGGAATTATCTTATTTGTCGTCCACAAGAGCAGCTTTCCGACTTGTCGATCCATCGATGTACTATCATTCTTCTCAAACACAACAGATGATTCCCTGTGAAGCTCGAAACGTCCATAGGCCTCGCTAGCTCGTATTGCATATTCAACTTCCTTGTTTCCATAGTTTCTCGCTATCGCGTCGTCTGCCAAAAGCCGCTCCGATAGTTTGATTCCCTTCTCAAAAGCTCTCTCTAATGTGAGAGTTGCAGAATCAGATGACAAGATAGCTTGGCGGATAGAACGTCCTTGAGAGCTTGCTCCTTGCAACACATATTCTAAAATGCCCCAAGAGATGAAACTGGGAAAGTTTGGAAGAACACCGTCCTTTTCCTTTCTCGAGGCAGAGCTTCTTCTTCGACTTCTTTGTAGCCCCAGAGACGCTTCAAAATCCGGTGACAGAAGAGTGACATTCTCCATTCCGTTATCGTCGATAGACCTGGCCAAAGCTTCTGCAACATTTTCAATAAACCCTGACTTGCATAGAAATGAGAGGTATGATGTAACCAACGGAATGACGCTCCTGGATTCTTCTTTAGATATCGAGGCTAAGGAAGACGTAACATAAGAAACAACCTTTTTCGTCGATGCATGGTCAAGTCGACCCGCACAATCTAGGAAGGAAGAGCATGTGCGAAAACATTCATTATGGCGGGATTCGTCGTTACTACTTTCCGCCAAACTCTCAAGTCCTTTTTGTTCGAAGTGTGCCACGATGTCAATCAAACAATCCTTTTTGGTAAATCTATCCTCCAAAACTCTTTTGCAAGCTTTGTTCTTTGGCTTATCAAGCAAGTGAGTGAGTGAGTCCCACAAACAGTTGATTGTATCGCTCAAACTAGCCATCAGAGAGGTGTTTGCTGCAGATAGGCCACTCGATGTATCGTGATTGGAGGTATCATTTTCTTCATCAGATTCCTCTCCCCTTGTATTACGTCGACGTTTCTTCATTTTAGAACACTTTTTCACTTGTTTTGCCTGGTCCGAACCGACGCATGATTCCACACATTTAAGGAGCATTATGACGAATTTGACTAGCGATTCGACTTCGATGTGATCTACCAGGTTTGCATAGAAGACTGAAGCAGCATTGGGATGGGTTAAAAGAAACGAAACTGTTCGTTGCAGAAGCTTGTTTGCAGACATGTCTTGACCGTGAGGAAAATAGGAACTGAGCATTAATTCTGTTAATCCCTTCGTCATAGCGTTGCGCCGACTAGTGTGGAGTTTCTCCTCTGCTACAAAACGTGCCATAAGATGGTCTACAGGGACCACGTGATAAAAACGTATTCCAGGGCACTTTTTGACTTCAAGAAGCATTCTCACGGCTGACAACCGAACTTTCTCTGTCTTGTCGTGAATTAGATTTCCCAGCGAGGGAAGCAAAGCTCGTAGAACACCATGCGATTTCTTTGTACCAAGCAAAGTTGTAGCAGCATCCAATGCAGCAGCACGAACCGCAGCCGATGTCGAATCGGACGAATGATTGATAACAATATCTATGAAAAAGAGGAATCGTGACAAAGACAAATCAGTTTTCGGTCATGATTGGATAAATAAGTAATGAAAGAGTGTGAATTTTCTTGAACATGATCTGCACGTACGATTCAATAGCGGTCGGATTTCCCTTGGCGGTAAAACTTCCCAAAACATAGCGCATGTTTGAGCTGTAGCCCCCGATGCTGCCACCCTTACTGCTGGATCTACGTCTTGTAGAGCGATTTGCAACGCCTCCGTGGCTTTCTTAACAGCGTCCTTCATCGAGAGCGAGTTCGATGGATCGTGCAGCGGAAATACTTTCTCCAGCACAACAACGGCATTCTTTCGGATCCGTGGGTTCGTAGCTGCCAAACTTCGCCATAAAATGGGGCTGTATAATCGGTGCAAAAGGCTCGCAACCTCTTTGTTCTTTTTATCCTCATGAAGTGGTGCCAAGACTGTCAACACGGACTTGAAGGTTACCGGTGAATCCATATTAACGACCGAATACATCAAGTCTTGCAAGACTTCGTGTTCTATCGCCTGACTAATGGACATGATCTCTTCTTGTTCCTCGTCATCGTCGTCGTCTAAGATTTCGTCGTCTTGGTTCTCTCGTACCTCTTTCCATGCCCGATGGTATATCTCTCCGTACGATTTCAAGATGCTCGGTTTGGCTTCGGGGATTTGTACGCGGAACGCTCTGTGCAAATCTTGCACTAAATGGACGTCTTGCTGCAAAAGACCCGCAAGAAACTTTCTTCCCTCTGGCAATTGAAGACAAACTGGGTTCGAAGCCACTCTCAGCAAGAGTTGTCGAAGGGAATCACTGCTGGGTTCTGCAAAGTCGATACAGCCGAACGCTTTGCGAAGCTTGTACAGTCGCTGAATGTGCGATTTTGTGGTGAATGCATCGATCCGTTCATCGGAGGCATTTAGAACGATGAGTGGCAGGCACTGGGCGATCAGATACTCTCGGTTCTCCGCCTCGGACAACCACCAGGTTTCACAAAGAGACAGAATCGTCGTCTTAGCGGGTCCCGCCGGAGATCCACAGGAGTGCAGAGGAAAGAGGCTTTCGTGCAGAGCAGACGCAATCTGAAAAATATGCGGTGGGACCTTCAAGGCCACCCTGCGCTTTTGCTCGTCTTCCTTTTCTTTCTGTCGAATGATGCGACCGTCCAAAAAGGCCCGAACGGCCAGTGCAGCACACTTCAGAACGAGGAGGCAATCGTCGGATTTCTTGTCGGGTTTCACGTCTTTGTCGTTGATGTCGCCGCCGTCTTCGTTGCTGTCGCCCTTATCTTTGACCGATTCGGGAACAAATCCTTCTTCCTCAATGATTCGTTCCACGATAGAGTGCAGGCCCGAAAAGAAACGCTTCAGAAGGTTCTTGCTGCTTTTGTTGGTGCTTCCATTTTTCAGTGCATTCCACAGTAGAGTCTGCTGTTGTTTGACTGTGTGCCCCGCAACGAGAGCATCGCATCGTTTCAAAGGCTGGAAGAGGCGACACAAAGATTGGCAATTGAATATGTCGCCGGCCGAAGGTGCTGAGTTCTCTACGGCGGCAACCAGCGCCTTGATGGCAAGAGCATCAAGCTTCGCTCCCTTTTGTGCTGCCATCTTGCCTCGGGTCAACGGCTGTATCGAATTCGGTTAGGCAAAATACGCTTCCAGTCACAGACCGACCTTTCTCTTGTATTATCGTTTGCGTCTAGTGGCACTGGTCGTCAAATTAAGCTTCTTGTTTGGAGCAATAGAAGGAATAGGGTAGAAAAAGGGTGGGCTTCGACCAAGAACGAGAATTCAAGATGGAATCGATCACGAACGAAACCAAAAACGAGAGTTTCCTTCCCACCTGCAGATGTAGCAGGCCGGCTCGCGTTGGATCAGATTTGAAATCCAAAATAAATTTTTCTATGATTTTTTCAAATCCTTCATCCAACAGCCTGTCCTTCGTACGTATTTGTCGTTCCAAATGGAGATTGATTACTCTGACTCGAGAACACGAAATCAAAATCTTCAACCGAAACGTTTGTTGCACGAAAAGCAAAATTCGGGAGAAATCGGAACAATGGTCGAGGCAAAGAAGAAAGGGTATACGATACAACACCACACATTCAAGGAATCCCGTCACCGCAAAATTTCAATAGAACCAAACAATGTCGACCACAATCGTATTTTTGCTCCAGGCCGCACTTCTCGTCGGTGCATGCGTGGCGTTTCAGCAACAGGTCCTCCCGGGAAAGGTTTCGTCGAGGCAGACAATCCAGAGCGTGCCACTGATGATGGCGGAGAGAAACGAGGACACTGAGAACGCTTTTGGCAGAAGGAACTTTCTAGCGACCTCTACTGCGGCCGTGGCAACGGGTTTGCTCTCGTTTCAACAATCCGCAATGGCAATCCCGATGGCCACCGTCGACGAATTCGATACCATCCTGAGGGACTCCCCGCTGTCGGTCAACGTCGTCGAGTTTTCCGGTCCGCGGAGCGAGAACGTCGTCGTGAAGCTCGTGGACGGAACCGTCTTTGGGGTGAAGGACATCGTCGAGTCCCCGACCGACCCGCGTTCTCCCCTCAAGCTGGCGGCCGACTGTCGAGAGGCCAACGTGAAGACGAAGTTTGTTGATTTCGAGGCTATGCTCTCGGGATCTCCGAAAAAGAAAAAGCTGTACACAAACGAGCGGGTCCAGAAAGCTTACGAGCTGCAGGCGGCACAAAAAGAGCGAATCCGCCAGGACGAGCTGGAGCGGCTGAGACAGGTCGCTCTGATGGAAGAACAAGAAAAGGCCGCCGCCGCCGCTGCTGCCGCACCACCGGCTGTTTCCGAATAAACTTCTTGCGCTGCTAATGCAGCTACCCAAAACATAAAAATCAAAGATGAAGGAAACGCTGTTGTTGTGTCTTTGGGTTTTCATTTTATGCCTTAGTTCTTTTTCCTTTACGGGCAGCAACATTTCCATCGCCTCTCAGAAAAATTTCTAAAGATGTTTTGGTTTAGACAGTACATGCGGCTGCGCGCTGATATCTATTAGATTGTCTCTTATTTGCGTAGTGGAACTTTCAGCAACAGCTTGCAGTAGCGCCAATAAAACAAATTGTACACTCGAGCAGTTACAACCCACTTCCCTAGAAAAGATACAACATGCGAAAGTTGAGATCGATACCGAGCAAAGGCCCTAGCTATGCGTTTCATAGATCCATCATGCCACAGCCCCGTATTGCTTGGATGTTTTTCTTGTTGCTGCTAAATAGAATTCGTTGCAGAAGAGACAGAAAGTATGAGTAAGAAGTTCTACAACTTAGATTTTGTTTCAGTCGGAGCAACTCCTCGTTTGCAATCGATAGTGGTCCAGGGGTCGTATTACTACGTATGTACTGTATCATAATATGATTAGAAATAACTCCCCGAATCGTGTGTCGTCAATTGTCAATTGTCAATCGTGTCCGTGGTTAGTGGTCGGGGAGGAGTGAATTTCTGCAAGTCGAACAAGTTTTTTGATGATGGAGCTTTTCGAAACAGCTACGTTAAATAACAGTTACGAGCTTGGTGTCCCAGTCCAACGCTTGTTGGTGTCCTACGTGTCTCTGATCCAGGACTCATCTTCTTAAGCAACACTGAAGGAACCGAAAAACGAACGGCACAACACATTGAGATATCCCGAAAAAATAAGGGATTTGTGATACCAGACCAAACGCTTCTCACTGTTTTCACGGTATTTTTTCAGCAACCCAAGAAATTCTGTGAAATTCTCACTACTGCATTACGGAACCAACCGTGACAATTATTCCACGACACACCTCACTACAACTACACGTTTCAATACTCATTGTGTTTACAACACCACTCAGCGACACGTTGCTCGTCCATATATTCTTCCTTGTGTTTCATCAACAGAGATCGCTTTGTTGTTCAAAACAACACTTGCAACGAACACTTCTGTCCGAACCAAGCAATCATGTCGACTGCGGCCGATAGAGAAGAACGGCAAGATGGGAGCCAACACGCAGAAGAATCTCTGGAGTTCACGGTGGAAGACCATGAGGGAACCTTTGGTCGAGAAAACAATGGTGAAAGCAGGAGGCCTACTCTGATAGAAATCAGGCCATCTGGTAGGTTTCGGAGGAGTCCCTCCCCGATGGAAATACCCAGACCGACTAGGTCTGGCAGCAGTGGGAGATCTGCCTCGTCTGGTTCCTCTTCCCGCCGAGGTAGCAGCCGGAGCCGCCACAGATCACAACCGTCGGGGATTTCGGCCGCCGCCTTTATCGACGAAGATGCCGTCAACCCTTTCGAATGCGATCTATTCACGACTTCTTTTGCGAGTCTCGCCGATGACGGAGAGAAAGACTTTTACAAACCCCTGCCGGTTGCCGATCAGATGGGCCACTTTGCCCGGCTTCCTCCGACCTTCAACGATGACTTGCCGCTCGAGCTGAGCATCGAACGTCTAGGGACACTGGTAATGGGCTACGATGACGACGAAAACGATGATTTTGACGTGGAAGCGCAAGCTCAGCATCTAAAGATACAAGAAATGATTGCATCGCTCGGTAGCGACAAGGAAGTTGACATAGATATAATAATGGACAGTGAGAAATCAGAAACGTCGGAGGATTCGGTGGAAGCGAACACGGAAACCATTTTTCGAACGAAGACTAGAGAAGAAGATGATTGCACGAGGGATCCTTACAGACGCGAAACAGCCGTCGGGGAAAGGAACAACATACAGCACAATGCAAAAAGGATTAAATCGAGGTCCGTGCTCACAGCTGGTCTTGAATCTCTAAAGTACTTGTATTCTCTTGTGCTCTTGGTTTTCTGTGTCGTCCTCGTTACGGGAGCCATCTTCACAAACCAAACTGCGTCAACCGCAAACGGTTTCTCTCCGATCGTGGCGTTTTGTGTGTTTTGGTTCCTGATTCTTTGGTTGGCGATGATGGAAGGAGGACAGGGAGCACTTGTAGGTCTCCAACCCATCGATCGCAGCCGCTACAAAGAAAGCCATCCCAGAACCTATATTAATACAGGACTCACGGCGAATGGGAGCGATGGATTGGAACGATTCATCATTGGAAGACAATTTCTGGTGGTATTAGTGGTCTTTGTTTCACAGCTAGTGTCCTCTACTATACCCAATATATATCTGTGGGGATTGGGTGACACGGTCAAGGCAATATTTCTAGACTCTGGTCTTGCACTGATGGTTGTGACCATTGTCCTAGGGCAGTTGCTGGCGCAATTGAACGCAGCGAAGTGCATGCTTGATTTTGTGAACAACTACTTCATGCTGTACTTTGTCACATACTTATCTCTTCTCATCGAATTTTCTGGCCTCCTTCATTCGGTCTACCTAGTTCAGATGCTATTTTCAAAAATCGGAGGGGGTTCTGGAAAGGGATCATCGTCTCGGACTGTTGTGCAAATCTTGTTCTTCTGGGCAAGGGTTCTTTTTTCGTTAGCGGTGCTGGGACTCGCGTTTGCGGTCACACTTTCGGCTTTGTTTCGAGGCAAAACTACCATGTGGAAGAGCGTCCCCGAAGCGATTTCGGTGGTTCTGTTCTTTGGTCTCATGTGTTTTGTAGGAATGATGGAGGGCATGCAAATCGCTTTCTTTGCGGTTTTAAACTACCCAGAAGAACAATTAGCTCAATACAGGATTGCTCAGAAAAATTGCAAGCTGACGTTCCGTGGAGAGAACCTCCAGTCGTTCTTGATTGGGAGGCAGATTTGTGTGACAATTTGTACATTTATTATTGCACGCATTACTACTTTGGATGTCAAAGTTGGAACGGACGAGAATATTTTCGGCGTTTCGGATGGATTGCAAACCTTTTTCAACACAGGTCTGTTGGGTGCTGTCATCACGACAATAGTGTCGTCATTGGCATGGCGGATAATTGCATCCTCATTCCCACTCGCGTTCCTTTCAAATCCGCTGGTGAATATCATCATTCGGATATGTCTGGTATTCGAAGCTTCCGGCATTTGTTCCTCGGCTTGGGTCCTTGCTAGATTCCACAAGATTATTGCTAGATACCGAACCGACGAGGTTTATCTAGAAAATGCCGAACCAAATGCTTCGACAACCATATCTACGCGGGACAAAGATATAGACCGGTTTTCGACAGTGCTCCGATTCACTATTTCGTTGGCATTGTTCCTCTTTTCGGTGATTTTGATCTCGGCTAGCATCTTCACTGGCCAGACCCGCATAATCGCAGGCAATGACGATTGGCGGTATTCTTTACTGGTGTACGTTGTCTTTTGGTTCCTAATCATTTGGCTGGCCATGACGGAAGGAAGTCTGGGGTGTCTTATGGGGCTGAAAACTGTTGATAAATTTATGTATATGGTGTCTCATCAAAATACTTACGAAAATACCGAGATTGTCCACAAGGGAGACAACCTTCAACGTTTCATTGTAGGGCGCCAATTCCTAGTCCTGGCGGTAATATTTGTTTGCACATGGCTGACAGAGCCCGTGGTAGATGCATCCGTCCTGGGTCTCCCGGAAATTGTGAACAAGATTTTCCTTTCATCGGATATTGCATTCATTGTCATTTTGATTATTGCTGGTCAGCTGACCTCTGAGGTAAACGCTGCAAAATGCATGCTGGACTTTGTCAACAACTGCTTCGTGCTGTATTTTGTAACGTACCTGTCCCTGGCGATCGAATATTCTGGGCTACTTCATTCTGTCTACTTCTTTCAGATTGCCTTGTCGAAAATTTCAGGCAAAAAAATCGAATCCGAGGAACCCGAACGATCGATTCTACAGAAGATATTCTTTTGGGGTCGAATTATTTGTTCTATCTTAGTTCTCGGATTTTCCATCGTTGTGACCGTGGTTTCATTGGTATACGGAGAAGCCACGTTGTTGTGGGGCTTGTCGGATGCATCATTTTTTACAATTATTATTGTGTTGATGTGTGTCGTTGGAATGATGGAGGGAGTTCAGATTGCTTTGTTCGGAATGAGCAACATTTCTGAGAGAGACCTCGCGTCTCACAAAATGGCATACAGGAACTACAAATTGGCTTGTTCGGAACAAAACTTGCAGGCCTTCTTGATAGGGCGCCAAATCTGTGTAACCTGTTTCTTTGTTCTTATTGCTCGGATGTCGACCCTAAGCATTGATATCAGTGTCGATGACAACGTTTTTGGCGTTCCAGATGGCGTGCAGATGTTTTTCAATTCCGGTGTGCCTGCAGCCCTGGTAACAACCATCTTGGCTTCTCTGGTATGGCGCTTGTTTGCATCATCATTTCCGGTAACATTCATGTCAAATCCGATGATATACGGAATCATATGGCTCTGTTTAATAGTTGATGCCTCGGGAATCTGTTCTGCCTGCTGGATGTTTGGAAGGTGGACAAAACGAGTGCTTGGTTACCAGCCCGACCCAGTCTACTTGGAAGATGCACCGAAAGAAGGACCTAAGCCGGTAACCCGGCGAGACAAGGATGTAGACGTGACAAGCACCGTAATTCGTTACATTCTCTCGAGTGCCCTTCTGTGCATTGCAATCTATGTTACCGTGTCATTGATTTTCATGAAACAAACAGAGTTGTCATCAAAAACAAACCCATGGTTTGTACTTATTCTATTTGGATTCTTGCTGGCGTATCTAGGAACGATGGAAGGAGGCCAGGGTTGCCTCGTTGGATTACAAAGAGTGGAAAACTACAAATACGAGGACACCCACCGTGTGGCTCTCAAGAACACAAAAATTTCTCACGACGGGAACAACATGCAGCGGTTTATTGTTGGTCGACAATTCCTGGTGGTATTGGTGGTTTTTGTAGTAAATCTCTGTGGATCACCTCTTCCTCACTCGGAAGTCTTCGGGCTACCAGATTCTATGATGGCAATCTTTGTGGATTCAGGGGTTTCGCTTATTCTGATCACGGTCATTCTTGGGCAGCTTCCAGCGCAAGTCAATGCTGCGAGTTGTATGCTTGACTTTATCAACAGTTATTTCATGCTATACTTCGTAACGTATGTCTCGATGGCAATCGAATTATCGGGTTTGTTGCACTGTGTGTACCTAGTACAAATGGTGTTTTCAAATATCAGCGGAACAGAAATTCAGACAAACGAGCCCCCTCGGACTACCATCCAAGCTTTGTTTTTCTTTGGACGTGTGGTTTTATCTTTGGCTATGTTAGCCTTCGCCTTCGCAGTGACCCTGACTGCAATGTTTGGAGGAAAGACCACATCATGGGAAAGTGTGCCAAGCTTCGTCTCCGTAATTATCTTCTTTGTCCTAATGTGTATCGCAGGCATGATGGAAGGCATGCAGATTGCTCTTTTTGCCGTTGTCAACCTTCCCAAAGAAGAAGTGGCCCAATACAAAATGGCGAAGGCATCGTGCCAATTGGCGTTCAGGGGTAACAACTTACAGGCATTTTTGATTGGAAGACAGATTTTCGTCACGCTCTGCACATTTGTTATAGCACGCCTCACAACTCTTGATGTAAAGGTTGGTTCCGGTGAAAATATTTTTGGTGTACCGGATACTCTCCAAGAATTTCTCAACACGGGCCTTCTAGGGGCAGTCATCACAACGGTGGTTGGGTCTTTGGCGTGGAGAATCATCGCTGCATCGTTCCMTGTTGCCTTCCTCTCAAATCCTTTGGTATATTTAATCTTGCGTCTGTGCTTGGTACTTGAGGCTTCTGGTGTTTGCTCAGTTGCCTGGTTGGTGGCACTCATCAACAAGCAAATGTTCGGATATCAGCCTGACAATTTGTATCTTAATAGTAGCAAGAGCCGCAAGGAAGAAGATATTGTCGATCCCGACAAGTATGCAACTCAACAGAGTTTGGAAATCGAAGCAACTGATTCCCTTGAGCAGATGGAATCTCAAGAAATAGATCTTTGACCGGTCAAAGCATTTACTGGTCATAATATCAGGATGCGTTTTGTATAGTAGGCACTGATGGATCAACATTAAATTGCATTCAACTTATGAATACAGCCATACTGTTTCCACAAAACTTACACCGTTTACCATAGCATTGATTTGTAACAACAATGTATCATATTTTCATACATATTTTTAATAAACAGAATTATTTTTCTGTTACAGAAGTCTACTTTCATGGTATGATTAGGGAAAGCTACTCCTGTTACTCTCTTGGCCCGCCAGACCCCATCTATATTCAAGTAACTACTAGTATGTTTGGATTAGGAGAGGGAAGTATCCTAGTCTGACTTTGATACATTTTTTGTCATGGTTTCCTTAGGATATTACTAGTAGTGGAGGAAAAATCTGAGTAGTATGTACTAGTGGTGGTAGCATTTACTCTACTAGTTGTTCTAGTTCTTCAAAGGAATGGTGGTCTGGGTTGGATAGTGGGGCTTGGGTTGTTGTTGCTGTTGTTAACAAATGTCAGAAATCACTAAAAATACTGGAACTGGTACAAGGAGGAGCTAAGGCTGAGGAATCTTCACAAAACTGAGTTTGTAGCATAGCATACTCCAGGTGCTGTTCTTCAAATAACAATTGAAACAACAATGTTAGTAATAAAGGGGTTCCGAACATTAATTTAACATTCCTAATGTTAGTGTTAACATTCCGTACTTTAGGGATGTAGGAGTACGTACAATCTGTACTAAAACAGGTGGCGGCACGCMGGCAGGCCAGCAGCTGCTGATCCAGCTGCTCAGTGAGGATCAAAATAGATCTATTTGGATGGATCCTAGTACAAGCTGTACACAAAAATGCTGTAGAATATTGTGGATCAGGGGGGAACCCTTTCCATTTTGCTCAAAATAGAAGGGTTTTGATTCCGTGTTCAAAATCCTACTGAGGCCTACTGTCGTGGCCTAAGAAACTTCACTCCAGTAAGCTGATCCTGTTCTTCTCATTCAATAAAAAATACTCGATTCAAAGCAACCGACCATGGGAATCGGTCTATTTTTGACACTTCCACTCAATATACTTGGTATCAATGGATAWATCTCTTCCATTGTCAATTGAACAAGCCTTGAACTGTAGCAAAGGACCCAGTAGAAGTACTGTTTTAGTCTTGCTGATACGGTGTCCGCTTATACGGAGATGCTGATAAGGAGGATGCTGATATGGAGGCTCGCTGATATGAGTCGCTGATGAAGAGGCTCCTTGCTGATATGGAGACTCGCTAATACGGTGTCTGCTGATACGAATCGCTGGTGTTACGGAGGATGCTGATATGCTGATAAGGTGTCCGCTGATACAGTGTCCTCTGATATGTGTCTGCTGATACGGAGGATGCTGACACAGAGGATGCTGATACGGAAGCTCACTGATACGGAGGATGCTGATACAGAGGCTCACTGATACGAGTTGATACGGAGGATGCTCCTGATACGAGTCGCTGATACAGAGGATGGTGGTGATACRGAGGCTTGCTGGTGATACGGAGGAGGCTCACTGATACAGAGATGCTGATACGGAGGATGCTGATACGGCATCCGCTGATACGAGCCAGTGATATGGAGGATATTGATACGGAGGCTCACTGATACAGAGCAGCCACTGGTGATACAGAGGCTCCTCGCTGATACTATGTCCCCTGATACAAGCCGGTGATACGGAGGATGCTGATACAGAGGATGCTCGCTGATACAGAGGATGCTGATATGTGTTGCTGATATGGAGGATGCTGATACGCAGACTTGCTGATATGGAGGATGCTGATACGCAGACTTGCTGATATGGAGGATGCTGATACGGTACCTGCATATGAGTTGCTAATAGTACTGAGGACACTGATACAAGCTGCTGATACGAGCTGCTGAGGATACGGAGGCTCACTGCTGATACGGAGGATGCTGATAGTACGGGCCGCTGATATGAGCCGCTGATACGGTGTCCGCTGATACAAGTTGCTTTGGTACACTAGTACTAGCTTATCAGCGGACACTATATCAGCAAGCCTCGTCCGTATCAGCATCCTCCGTATCAGCCACTCATATCAGCATCCTCCATATCAGCATCCTCTGTATCAGCATCCTCCGTATCAGTGAGCATCCTCCGTACCAGCGAGCCTCCGTTTCAGCGAGCGTTGGCCTTATCAGTGAGCCTCTGTATCAGCGAGCGTTGTCCGTAYCAGTGAGCCTCCGTATCAGTGGAAGCCTCTGTATCAGCAGCAAGCCTCCGTATCAGCGGAAGCCGTATCAGCAGCTCTACTGTAACACACTAAAACAGTACTTCTACTGGGTCCTTTGCTATTGTTCAAGACTTGTTCAATCGATAATTGAAGATATCTATCCATTGATACCAAGTACAGTGTATGAGATTGAGTGAAAGTGCTGCAAATAGAGCGATTCCCATGGTCGGTTGCTTTGAACCGAGTATTTTGATTGAATGAAAAGAACAGTTCTAGTGTACTGGAGACAAGTTTTTAGGCAGGGCACAGTACTAGCCCTCAGTACAATTTGAACGCTTGATAAAAACCCAGCAAGATGCTGAACAGCTGCTGGGCCTGCCGGCGTACCACCACTGGTTCTTTCTTTAGTACAAATCATACAAAGGCCTACTGTGCTAATGTACGGAATGTTAACAATAACATTCGGAACGTTAAATTAACATTCGGAACCCCTTAGTACTTAACGTTGTGCACGTTGTTTCAATTGTTACTTTACACGTAGTAATGTTATCGTGCTAATAATGTTCTATGTTGTCCGTAGGATATCAGACCGTGGGTATGATTCATACATACGACATATACATACGATACATATCTACGATTCATACACACCATACATATATGACCCACACGATATATGACCCACACGATCCCACTGGATTCATATGATCGACATGACTCATTTCATTCACTTGCGTGAGTGACTCGACTCATTCGTTTCACACACCACCACTCGATCCTCACAGCGATCCATTTTAGATTTCATAGTTCGCCGATCCCCGATAAGAGCATTGACTCACTTTTCTATTAGCACACACTTTACATCACTTTAGGACAGTCACTCCCACAGGTTATGACATGTTTTACTACGCCTAAAATAACAATTGAAACTACGTTAATGGAGGCATTGGGAACGTTAATTTAACATTCCGAATGTTACCAGTGTAGGCTGCGTATAAATGAGTACTGTGTTTTTTCTTCAATTTAACGTCCTGAATGCTTTGCTTAACAGTCTGAATATTAGCAGGGGAGGCGCCCTTTTCTTCCTAGATCCCTTCTTCTTCCTTTTTTAGGCACGTGCAAGACTGAATGAATAATGTGGATAATACTAGGATCTTCGCCGTACGTTAAACTAACATGCCATACGTTAAATCAAACATTCGGAATGCCTSCATTAACGTAGTTTCAATTGTTGTTATTTTACGCGTAGTATCAAGATGGAGATTTCCGTTCCACACAACGTATTTCTTGTACTCGTGCTATGAATTCCCTACACATGAAACCTTTACGTTGATTTTCTGTTCTTCTAGCCGCCAAAACCTTCATCTATGAAAATTTCGCGAACCGAAAAAAAAAAACAACCGAGCCTACCGAGATCCTATCTTTAAAAACATGCTTCGCGCCACTGCCGACTTCATTATTTCGGATGAACGGGCGAGAAGTCTCATATTTCTGATTTTCCCTCCCAAACTGAAACCGTTCACCACTGTCTGAACAGATTATTTACTGTAATATCTTCGAATTCAATACTCTTTCTTCCTGTGCAATCCGTTGCGGTCACAATGCGATTCTCTTTTCGACAAGCTGTAAGTACGATAGCAGATTGCAGACACCGAAGAAGCCGAAGAAGCCATAGAAGTTTAAAATCAAATTCGAATTTTGGATTTTGATGAATGTTCTGTACACACAAACAAGCAAACAACAAAAGCAAACGATTGGCAACATAATTGCCTGTCCCATTATTTGGCGTCCTCATTACACAACATAAACGAAAAACAACTCATATCTTTGTCTCTTCCGTTATTGCTATGCAATCAATTGCTTCGGCATCAAACAAATCCCATCGAAAATTAATTGACCACAGACCGACAGAGCAAAAGAATTCTGCAATGAAATGCAGCTTCGAAGAATGAAGATCCCGTTCCAAAAACTACCGGAAGAGAGAGAGCCAATCACCGAATCCGTGCATGTGTCAAAGATTCGGATTGTGCACAAGAGGCCGTCAACTACATCACGAAGAAACTCCGACACTGGACCGAAAAGAGCTTCGCATCGGTCGTACGCAAGAACGAAGGATACAGAGGTAACCACAACGCCGAAAAGAGCCTCTCACCTGTTGTGTGAAAGAACAAAGGATGTCGAGGCAGCCAGTGTAGAGACGAAGAGCACTTTGCATCGTTCACAAGGAAATACCAAAACAATCCAGGTAAGAGACTTCTCATGCTCATCCTTGTACCCCTGTTCATACTTGGATCCCCCAAAGCTGCAAATTGCCCTATCTGCCTCTAACTTAATGYTTTCTTGTTCGTACCTGTTTYACTGATCAAGCCACCTTCGCCGACTTGTGTCAAAGAATTCGCACGTCAAAGAATCGTTGTCGAGGAAGAAAAGCAGGGCGAAATCTTCGAGGAAGAAAAACATGATGAAATCTGCGAGGAAGAGGAGGCCAATGTCTCGGATGGCTGGGCCAGTAGTCACTGCACTCGATATGCCTGTGTTGAATCGTTTCCCGATTTTTTCTCCGACACTGAGTTCCTTAGTTCCGTGCAGGGTAACTCAAGAATGAAAGGATTCAAAGACTTCGCTCGCGTTGTGAATATGAAAGTGGAAGGTTTCCAAGAACAATATCACGTCAACCATCATGCTCTCGAAAAAATATTTACCCTTCGGCATTTTTGTCACAACCTTCCCTGTACCGATTTGAATGCCTGTTCCCCGTCAGCTGTCGACGATGCCACTGATGCAAAGGACATATCCATGACGGTTGAGTTTCGGAGTAAGAACACACCAACAATCGAGCGAATAGAAATATAGATTGTACGACGGCATATGTACCATTCAAATACACTAGTAAATCACACAAATACGTTGTATACTTTTGTAATGTTCCAAGAACACTCAAATTTCATTGAGAGACTGTCACTGTGTCGCAATTAAAACTAATTATATTGGTGGTCCTGATTCTAATATTGTCTGTAGAGGAAAGAAAGAAATGCGATCAGTTTTTGTCATGTAGTTGACTCGTTCGGTGTTTGTTGCTTTCTTTGGGTCTTTGAAACGACCAGCTAACTGACCATTTCATTGAGATGGGTTGAAACATCAACCATCATGGATGAAGACAATAGCGCAAAAGTGGCTTTGTTATGATCCAATAACAACAAGATTGAATGGCACATAACAGCAGAACAAAACAAACCAATCACACAACATAGTTGAATCAATATATTGGTTTGGCTTGTGATGCTGCTGGCTGCTTCCATTGCAAAGAACAAGCAATGGATAGTACTTAGTATTAGTAATAGTTCTGTAATGTGTTTCAATTTTTGTTTTTCTGTAGATGGTTCTTGAGGAAGAAAGAATTTAAGTTTTAAATAGGAAGGCAATAGAATATYATTTTCAATAAAACCATGTATGAGTGTTAATTAACTTGAGGAGATTTTTTTAGAACAACAAAAAACAGACATTTATCAATGAATATTATTTATTACAACCTTCACCTCCCGCATTTGACCAGGACTAGATTCCTCTCTTCTGTGTCTTTCTTTTCATCATGTACCTAGTATCTCCTTTCAGTTTTGATTGGGAGGGAGCAAGCTGGTGTAGCTGTAAGAGTGCATTCACTACATGTTGTCATTTGTGGCAACAAGCATTGAATCTGTTGGGCCCTCTTTTCTGTATGCAATTACTACTTCTTGTGGGATTCAAAAATTCAACTGAACTACTAATGGCATGCTGTGCAAATAGTAGTGCAATTCAGTATTTTAGTCAAACAAGTAATGGTTACAGAGAAAAAAAGAGGGCTCAAAAACTGGATCTGAGTTGTAGTAGTAGTTTTGGGAGCCCACAATGTACAATAGAAAGTTCATGAACAATTGCTGGGAGTAAGAACAACTAAAGGAGGAACAACTGGTAGATTAACAAGCAACTACTACTAGTAGTGGAAACAACTGGTGAAGGAGGTCAATAAGAGACCCAGCATGTATCACAATGTAGTCAAATAGTAGTAAGAGAGCAACTACAGCAGCACATGTGAATTGCCACAGCAGGCAATGGTGGTGTGGGATCAATTCTTTCCACTGGGTGCTGGTGCTACCTCTACCAGCAGTAGTAGCAGCCAAATAAACAGATATAGTAGTACTAGTACTAGAACAAAAGTTGAAAAGCAGTACTAGTTCAAGAATAATGATCAAGTCATGTGCATCATGGATAGGTGTAACAATGCTAGTAGTAGGAATATAAACTTGCTTAAATAGATTGATTTCAAATAGTAGAAGATTAAAATCAAACACAGTAATGATACTAGTATGTGTCATAGTCGTATAATATCAGAATATGAAGAGTTGGGAGTAACTTGGGGKCAACAAGAAGAAAAAGTAGAACAGAAGTGTTCATATCCACCACCAGTATTCTGATGTAGTAGTTGTCCACTATTGAAGATTTGTGTCTTTTTGCAATGAATAATTGAGTTTGAAAATACTACTTGTCAGGAAGATAAAAAGTAGTAGTAGGGAACAAATGGTGTGATTTGTTGTCCACCACTTCAAAATTTCCCTGGAAAAAAGTTGGAGCTACTATTCTGTATGATACAGCTCTTGGTGAAGGAGGAAATGGACTACCATGGGAGCAAGAAAGTATCACAGTACTGAAATTGCTACCGTTTTACTAGAGCTGTTGTTGAATCCATGCTTTAACTCAGAAGACTTGTACTCTGGTGGGCTATTTTGTTTAATCAAACTACAACATGGAGCAGGTATCATACTATTATTAACACACCAGACTTCATCTCTTATCAGAGTTTGATCTACAGTACAGTACTAGTAGTACTTTTCCATCAATGTTCTGGACATCTTAGTAGATATTCTTATTGCATATTTACTAGACTTTAATATCACCAAACCAKAAGATCGCAGAGTAGTGGCAATACAATTTGCCAAAATATTGCATCAAACATCACAATATGACAAGATAATAGTTTGAAATAATCATTTATCCTAGCAAATGGGCGGGAAGAAATGCCCCCCTGTTGACAGTTTTTATGTACTTTTTAATAATCATACTAGTAGGATCTCCTCTTCTAGTAAACATTTTTTTGTYATTGACTCTCTGTCTTGTGGGATGGTGGTTTGCTTAGCAAAAATAGTATAGCCACTACAGTATGTGAACTGGAGCAAAGTGGTTTGGAGGAAAGAAGAGCAATGCATGGATGTACTACCAACTTTCCTAAACCAGTGCTCCTCCACCAAATTCTACTACTAGAATCATATGTAGTATTACTTAGTGATAAAAGAGTGATATGGCTCTCAGTTGATGGGCAATAGCACTACTAGTAGTAGCACTTCTTGTATTAGTAGTAGGGTGCCTGGTGATAGATATTCTAGTATCGTAGAGAGTTGGTGTAGAGATTCCAGCCAAAGAATTCATACATTTTTAATTCCATATTCATACAAGTATTTTGATATCTTCCTCTACTAGGACCCACCAACTCCCACATATGACTAGAATCCTCTTTTTACTGGGATTACTATCAAGTAGTAAGCATCAATGTTCTTTGTTGAAATCTGTTATTTCAAGAAGTGTTGTTGCTTCTGGTGGGTGGAGGATCTACCTAGAAATGTACTAAGAGGACACTTACTAGTAGTACTACTAGCAAGATACCACCTTGTACACTAGTTACTACTAGTAATGAAAATATTTAAAAATAGGCAGTAGTGCTACCAGCAGCACTAGTAGTAGTAGTAGTAGTAGTAGTAGTAGTAGTAGTAGTAGTAGCAGCAGCACTAGTAGTAGTACTACTACTAGTAATACTAGTATAGTAAAAAGGACTCTGGTGTGATGACAACAACAAGGTGGACTACTAGTAGTGGAGGAAGGATCACCAGCAGGAGTGACAAATCAAGAGCACCACCAGCAGTAGGAAGAAGCAAGAAGGATGAATAAAGAAGAACAACAACAAGAAGCAGGTCCTCATTCTGCATGCAATTTTTTGCTTATATCTGTTACAATATATATGCCTCAACCAGGGCCCTGAAGAACCCACAAGCATCCCCCTTTTTGAATTCCTCCCCTAGAAAACATGGGTTATTTTTGGTGAAACATAATCCATGTTTTGGAATTGTGGGTTATTTTATTGGAAGAATAACTTGTATTTTAGAATTGTGGGTTATTTTATTTGAAAAACAACAACAACAAAAAATGACAAATAACCCATGAATAACCCATAGATTTAGAGTCATTTGGTGGATCAAAGGAGACAAACCAAGGATGTTAAGTACTTTAGTCATTCTTGATGTTGCAGATTTTTGGGTTATTTGTGGGTTAAATCAAGAACCCAAGTTTCACAACATGGGTTATTCATGGGTTATTTTGTGGGTCAACTTTGGTGAAAAATTACCCACATTTTAGAATCATGTGTTATTTTATCGAAAAAAGAACCCATGAAATGATCATGCCCCCGGAATGTTGGATTTCAAAGGGGGGATACGTGCATACATGGTTTCTTCTTCTGGATGATGTTGGCCCAGCAGAACAATTTCTGTTAAAATAAGAGTGGTTTTATGTTGTACTATTACTAAATGAATATAATTGATTTATTTGTCTTGTTACAACAAGAAGGATTCACCAAACCATATAGTATGGGTTCATAGGAGGGGTTGTTGCATATCGTCATCATGTTCATGCACCAGGCAGAGTTACTACTAGTAGTAGTAGTAGTACTAGTACTAGTAGTACTAGTAAAAAGAAGAAGGCACCAAGAAGAAGAAGAACACCACTCCTTGTCCTTGTCCTTGTCCTTGTCCTTGTCCTTGTCCTTGTCCTTGTCCTTGTCCTTGTCCTTGTCCTTGTCCTTGTCCTTGTCCTTGTCCTTGTC